GAAATGAAACAAAAACAAAAAGTATTCCACCATCAATTCGTAAAGAATGAAGCCTTAGTCATTTTTACTTCTAATTTAACAACAAAAAGTCAAACAACAAGAGAAAAAAACCTATTCTTTTAAATTCTTACCAGCCCAAACGTCAACAGGCGTTCCATATTGTCGATCACCAACCAATAGTTCAGGCGCACGATACCATCGTGTAGCTAGAAACGATCGAATGTATGAGAAGAAAATCATCTTTTATTTAAATGAATTTATTTCCACTTACCTACATAATCAGTCATTTCGAGTTGTTGTGCTAAAAATAAAATAAAATAATTAGAATAAACTTGGACTAGTGTTCATAATTTAAGTTACTATATCACCAGAAGAAATTTGAAATTTTCTAATTACTATAGTTTTATAAGAATTGAAATGTGCAAAAAATATTCAATGAAACAATCTCACAAGAGAATGAATGATTTTTGTTCTTAATGAGATAATTAGTTGTTATTCTGTAAACTAAAAGATAATAAACATGTAAAACATACTCATCAATCTTGCAAAACCAAAATCACACAATTTAACAATATTCTGTTTTGTTATCAGAATATTTTCCGGTTTAACATCACGATGGATGCACTAAAACATACATAGATATTGGTAACATACTAAACTCTAAACGTATTTTTCACTTACATTATGTCGATGACAAAATTCAACAGCATTCAATACTTGATAAGTAATCTTTTTAATCATGACTTCTGGTACTCTAAAAATAGAATTAGATCAATACCAACGTGACTAAACGAATAAAAAAACTCATTACCCATTTCTATGAGATTCAAGTTCATCTAGTACGGTTCTATCACAATATTCAAATACTAAATGCAATTTATGTTTTCGTTTTGTTTTAAATACTTCAATTAAATTAACGAGATTTTCATGTTTTAAATGCTAAAATTAAATACAATAGTTTTAAAGACTGAAAAAATTATTAATAAATTAATCCTACAAACCTTTAACATTCTAATTTCTCTCATTGCGATTCGTTTAATGGCTGGATCATCATCAGACTCAATAAATTTTTTAATGGCTACAGTTTC